CCTGACATGATTAGGACATTAATGTCACAATACCAAGAAAGACATCTCTATGTTCCTACTGAGTCAAGTAAGGCATCGTCGATGATATCCGTTGTTAGTATCTTGGGCAATCGGCACTCTTCTCATTATAAATAATAAATAAATATTCCAAATGTTAAAAATGTAGTCCGCTTATGCTTCAGTTATAGGTATTAATCTTATACATCTGTTATAAGCTCAAGACCTTTTCATTTGATGAAATCATATGTATACACCTTTCGACTTGCTCTTTTAATTTATCATTCTACGAATTTTTATCTTATTTCTTTTAACATCTCTTTCTTTTTGTTTTCTCATTCAAATATGCATTACTGATGTTTTGTTATGCACTTAGCTTTTTGCTTCCGTTGTCTACCATCATTTTCTACTATTGTAACAGAACTTTTTACATGTTTTATAAACTTTTAAAGCCCGGAACAATGTGCGAGCTCTACTATAAGTACGCCCAACTCTAATTTAGTGTTCATTAACAGTAAACTGCCTAAAACGCCCCTAAAGTTAGTCTTCAGTCAATGCTTTTTATACAGTGATTTACCGAATTTACCTTTTCTATTCAGCTATCCATCATCCGCGAAGCCTTTCTTTTATCCTGTTCATGGTTTTTTAAACCCACGCACATGGTTCGTGGTACAGAAAAAGATGAAAAAACAACAATAAAAAATCGGTTGTAGGACGAAAAAATGATTAAAAATATCAAAAGTTAAACCCGGCCACAGGATTGTGGCACAAAAACGATAAAGAACGTGTACACGTGTTGGTCATCGTGGGAAGGGATAAGGTTGGGTTTTCCATTTGTTTCCAGAACGAGGCCTTCCCAGTTGTTTACTGAAGGATCTCTCATGTTCTCAGTCTCAGAACCGCGAACCACAAACCATGATATCCTTCTCCGTTCGACAACATCTCCTTCCTCCTCCTTCGTTGTACAACATCTCACCCTCCAGGCTCCTCCCTTCTTCTTCCTCCTCCTCCATTGGGCAACATCTCCTCCGCTCCTTCTCATGGGTATTTTTTTCATCTATGTTTTTCCTCAGATCCCTCTTGCTTCTAACTTTTAATGAGTTTGATTTAAAAGTGGGTACTTTTTGGTTATTTGGTGAATTAGGTTTTTGGAGTTTTAGGAGAATTTTTAACAGTGGCGACATCTGAAGGAGCTGTTGCAGTGCTACACCACAAACTGGGTAAAGGTCACAATAAGTATTAGTCACTCCAAGAGTGTTGGACTGTCCTCATTCTGGAACAGGTTTAAGAAGGCCCTGACACTGACATTGAAAAACAATTGAATTCCAACCACATAATTAAGATAGCAAATCGACAACATAATAAGACAACATAATAAATCTAATCGTAAATTTTCTTTATGCTATATTGTCTCCGATACCTCTGTCGTCCCCAATCACGAATTCTCTAAGCCGCTTGTAATATTTGACCAGGCTGAGCCACTCGTAAACAATGAATTACACACAAAAATATGAAAGGTGTAGCTTTATGTCATGGGCACATAAATCGATTGAAAGGTGATGTGTGGGAGAAGGAGGATATCACATGTTTCTATCAAAAGGGAAATTACTCGATAAGTCCCTGAGAAACGAGTCATGATTTTGTTAATTAATGGGATAACTTGATATAGATTCAATTTTGTGAGCCACTAGTCGGATTAGTCCACTTTATTGAAATATGTCCAATAATTGAGATTCTATGTATTCTTATTTGTGGTTTGTACCATATTTACCCATTAAGCTTACGAATTGTAGTAAATACATAAACTTTCTTAATTATGGGATTATTTATGGTTTAACTTATCCCTTAATTGTAGGATTAGTTATAGCCATATAATCCCCTCAACCCCCAATCCGTTTCCCTCCTTCTTTCCTTCTTCCACACAATTCTCTCTGTTAGATCATGGAATCAATCCTCCTCTTTTTTGTCTCTTCTTTTCATGTGTGATATTTTTGTGCTCTTCCCTCCAAATTTGTTCCTTTAATGGAGGTATATTATATCATATTTATATTTCTATGTTCCGCCATGTAGGTTCCCAGAATTTTTCTTCCAATACAATAGGTAGTTTATTTTTGTTTTGCACGTAGATTATATCTGCTTTGTAGGTATAAAACATCTTTCTTCCTATACAATAGGTAGTTACTAGATTATATCGGTTTTGTTTTCTTCATAAATAGTAGGTAGTTACTAGATAATATTTTAGTTTGAGAATTTAAATATTCAAAATATAAAAACTAAATAAATGAAAAAAAAATTTAAAGAAATTAAATATTTTTATTTGAAAAGGCAAAATTGATATCAAAATTTATAATTGGATAACTAGATTCAGTCCCAAAAACTACTTATGTTTTTGGACCTTGATCCAAAAGCCCCTAAATTAATTACCCAAATACAACGCTATCAACTTTTAATGATTAATCATTGTCAATGAATGAAATGAGTCCACTGTAAAAAAAACAAAAAAAAAAAACCACCAAAGCAGATGAAAGAATAAAAATGCATATGAAATCAAACTCAAAAGAAGAAACAAATGGGACCACTGTAAAAAAATCACAAAAGCAGATGAAAGAATAAAATGCAGGTGAAATCAAACCCAAAAGTAAAAACGAATGGGACCATTGTAAAAAAAATTTCAAAAGCAGATGAAACTGAACCCAAAAGCAGAAGTCTTTTGATTATTACCTGTTAGACAATGAAGGGCAATCTATTGAAGAGAAGGGGAAGACAACGGTAGGGTTTCGACGGTCTGAGAGTTGAGTGTGAGTGAGTGAAAGGAAAGGGGAATCTTATCTCTACTCTGATCTTTTTTTTATTTTTTATTTTTTTGGGGTTAAAAGTGATATATATCCATCAATTAAACACTCAAAACGGGACTACAAAAACACCACCATCTATTCTGATTAAAACAAACAAAAGTAACCACGGGTCAATTCAGTTAACCGATATCCAAGAATTATAGGAACCTCATCAAACCTACCTTAGTCGGTGCGCATCGGTTTACTCACCAAAAAAAAAAAAAAAAAAACCAATTGGTTGAGTGGGAAGGGAGACAAATTATTATTAATTTGTTGAGTGGGGGACCTACAAATTAAAGATCAAATTTGGGAAGAGCATAAGTTAAGAATTTATATGTAAATAATTTGTGGTTCAGTTGGTTAAAAATATTCGTTCATGTGGTTTTGTGTTCAATTTTGTCACATCCTGGCCCGGGTGGGACCATTTCCCGGGCCCGCTCCACCACCGTAGCACGATATTGTCCGCTTTGGGCCCCGACCACGCCCTCACGGTTTTGTTTTTGGGAACTCACACGAGAACTTCCCGATGGGTCACCCATCCTGGGAGTGCTCTCGCGCGCTACTCGCTTAACTTCGGAGTTCCTATGGAACTCGAAGCCAGTGAGCTCCCAAAAGGCCTCGTGCTAGGTAGGATGGGAATATACATTTAAGGATCAGTCCCCTGGGCGATGTGGGATGTCACAATCCACCCCCCTCAGAGGCCCGACGTCCTCGTCGGCACATTTCCGGCCAGGGATAGGCTCTGATACCAATGTCACATCCTGGCCCGGGTGGGACCACTTCCCGAGCCCGCTCCACCACTGTAGCACGATATTGTCCGCTTTGGGCCCCAACCACGCCCTCACGGTTTTGTTTTTGGGAACTCACACGAGAACTTCCCGATGGGTCACCCATCCTGGGAGTGCTCTCGCGCGCTACTCGCTTAACTTCGGAGTTCCTATGGAACCCGAAACCAGTGAGCTCCCAAAAGGCCTCGTGCTAGGTAGGATGGGAATATACATTTAAGGATCAGTCCCCTGGGCGATGTGGGATGTCACAATTTTTTTTTTTTTTTTTTTTTTTGTAATTTAGTTAAATTTAATATAAATTATCCTATTATTTGTTAAAAAATAAAGATAAGAATTTATGTAATAAAAAAAGTTTAAAAAGCCAAGATGACCGACCGGTAAAATTTTTGTAGATATTTTTTTTTTCGGTAAAGTACAAAAAACTACCTCAACTATTGGTGTCATGACACTTTCATACCTCATCTTTTAAAATTGACAATATCATACCTCATCTTACGAAATTGTGACAATGTCAGACCTCCGTTAGTTTTTCTGTTAATTTTTCTATTAAGTGCTGACGTGGCTTGATTCGGAGCCCACTTTCTATTAAAAAATTATTAAAACTAAAAAAATATTTAATATTTTTTAAAGATTAAAAAAATAAAATAAAAAAACCTTAGTCGTCCCTTCCCCCCTCTCTCTTCCCCATCTTCATCTTCTTCCTGCTTAAAAATAAAAAATAAAATAAAATAAAATTTGAAAACCCAACCCCCCAACCCTCCAAAAAAAATTAAAACACCCCCTACTGCGGAAGAAGAAGAAGAAGGAGAAAAAAAAATAAAAAAAACCCCAACCCAACCCAATTCGGTCCCCCCCCAACCCAATGCGCACTCATCTCTCCTCCCCTATTTTCATCTTCTTCCCCTTTTCGCTCTACCTGCAACCCAGAAACAAAATAAATAAATAAAATAAAATAAAATTTCAAACCCAGTTTCGGCCCAAGAAGAAGAAGAACCCTCTCTGTCTCCTCCCTATCTTCATCTTTGTCCCCCTTTCCCTCTACCTGCAACCCAGAAACAAAAAAATAAAAATAAAAATAAAAACTAGAAGAAGGAAGAAGAAGAAAAAAAAAAATTTTGAAAACCCAACCCCCCAACCCTCCCCCCCCCCCCCCCAAGGAGAAGGAGGAAGATCCGAAGAAGAACAAGGAGGAGGAAAAAAAAATGGAAACTACAACCCAGAAAAAAAAAAAAAAAAAAAAAAAAAAAGGGAAAAAACTCAGAAGAAGGAAGAAGAAGGAGAAGGAGGAAGAAGAAGGAGAAGGAGGAAGAGGAAGAAGAAAATCCATCAACTCAACCCCCCCTCCCGGCCTGCCCGTGGAAGAAGAAGAAGAAGGAGGCAAAGAGGAAGAAGAGGAGAAGGAGAAAAAAAAAAAAAAAAAAAAAAAAACCCCAACCCAACCCAATTCGGTCCCCCCCTCCAACCCAATGCGCACTCATCTCTCCTCCCCTATTTTCATCTTCTTCCCCTTTTGCCTCTACTTGCAACCCAGAAACAAAATAAATAAAATAAAATAAAATAAAATTTCAAACCCAGTTTCGGCCCAAGAAGAAGAAGAACCCTCTCTGTCTCCTCCCTATCTTCATCTTCGTCCCCTTTTCCCTCTACCTGCAACCCAGAAACAAAAAAAAAAAAAAACAAAACAAAAAACAAAAAGAAAAAAAAATTCATACCCAGTTTCGGCCCAAGAAGAAGAAGACGAAGAAGAAGAAGGAGAGAGAAGAAGAACGAAAAAAATAAAAGTGACAAATCCAGTTTCGACCCAGGAGGAGAAGAAGATGAAGAAGAAGAAGGAGGAGAGAGGAACAAAAAAAATTGAAATTAGTGTGGGTGAAGGAAAGGGGATGCCGCATCCCTAGGATTTTTTTTTTCTTAATTTTTTAATATTTAATTATTAAAAATATATTTAATTATTTTTTAATCCAGCTGGATTAGTGAGTGGTTCCCATCTCTTGCCACGCCAACATTTAACATAAAAATTGACGGAGGTATGAAATTGTCACAAATTCGTAAGATGCGGTATGACATTGTCAATTTTAAAAGATGAGGTATGAAACTGTCGTGACCCCAATAGTTGAGGTAATTTTTTACACTTTACCCTTTTTTTTTCTTTTTCCAGTGGGTGTGGTAGATAGTCAGCGATACTATAAATAGCAAAGCTTATGAGCTACTGAACTCACACCAGCACTTGATACAAAGCAATAACACTTGGCTAGTTCGCTTCAGGTTTGAAATCTTTGAAATATGTCTTCTGTGGAAGTTCCACTATCTCAATCTTCAAACCCAAATGACACTTTTGATGTTCATCAGCCTAAGCCTTCAGCCACTTTTTCTCCCAGCATTTGGGGTGACCATTTTCTGTCCTACGCTTCTTTGGTAAGACTTCTTTCTTAGTACAATAAACTATTATATATTTTGAACACTATATTATTATGAAAATTAAATTTGTAATTTTAAACAAAGAGGAAAAAAACCAAAGAGTACTTTAATCATTTAAAATGCTACTGATTCGAAATCATTTTATCTAACTTTTCCTTCCTTAATGTGGCAAACATGTTGCGAATCTAACTACCAAAGTTAAATTCACACTTTTTTTTTTTTTTTTTTTTTGGGAAAAACAAGTTCTTAAAGTCATGAAAACTGCCACGCAATAACTATTTCAGGCTAGGTGCCTCTCTTTTCTCAGTGTTTACAATTTAGAAATTGACATCATAAGGGTTATGTGTTTTCTAATGTGTCATCAGACTTATAATCATCTTATATTAATTGTAGTCTATATCTTTTGGTACTTGGAAACCTCCTCATTCAAACATATCATAAAGGTTATGCGTTTTCTAATTTCTTAAATCAAAACGTGATCCTGTGGAGGAAGTGGATGCTGAACTTGAACAACATGTACAAGAACTGAAGGAAGAAGTGAGAAGGATGCTAACGACATCACCTGAAAATGTTTCCCAAAAGTTGAACTTGATCGATGACATTCAGCACTTAGGTGTGTCCTACCATTTTGGAAATGATATTGAAGAAATTTTACAGAAAATTCACAAGAGCTCTTATGATTTGGATGACCTGTACACAGCTGCTCTTCTTTTTCGATTGCTTAGACAACAAGGTTATAACGTTTCATGTGGTAAGTAATCTCGGATGGTGGTTTGGTCATATATTTTGTTGTTTTTCGTTTTTTTGTTTTTTATTTTTTATTTTTTATTTTTTGTCTAAATGCTTCTTGAGGTTCTGAATTTTCCATTTTGTTGGTCATGCAGACTTATTCAACAAGTTCAAGGACGGTGATGGAAATTTCAAGGAATCACTCGTTGATGATGTTGTAGGACTACTAAGCTTGTATGAAGCCACACACCTTAGGATACATGGAGAGGAGATACTAGATGAGGCTCTAACCTTCACCATGACTAATCTCGAGTCGGCGACATTCCGTTTAAGCCCCCCACTTGCAAAAGCAGTAACCCATGCCTTAAATCAGCCGCTCCGAAAGGGTTTACCAAGGGTTGAAGCAAGGTATCACTTGTCAGTCTACCAGGAACTAAGAGAATCACCGAATGAAACTCTTCTAACGTTCGCCAAGTTGGATTTCAACCGACTGCAACGAGTCCATCAGAAAGAACTAAGCGAAATCACCAGGTAAATTAATTCCTTTTTCATCCAAATACATCACTTACTAAAGAGTTGAATTCTCCACCTCTAGCTACAAATAAATAATTATTTTTGTAACTCAGGTGGTGGAAGGACTTGGACGTGCCAAACAAGCTACCTTTCGCAAGAGACAGATTGGTTGAGGTCTACTTCTGCTGGAGTATGTCTGTCTATTTTCAGCCTCAGTATTCCTTTGCTAGGAGAACATCATGCAAAGTTACTGCTGTAGCATCCATTATCGATGACCTTTACGAATATGACACAGATGAACAACTAAAGCTCTTTACTGAAGCTATTGAGAGGTATGAATATATCATTAGTTAAAATTATCTTATACATAAAAGAGTTTATTTCAGTTTACTAAACACAAGTCTCGTGGTTTTCAACATTTAGTACATAAAGTTTTTTTCGTCTTAGAGTCATACCTAAAATGTTAACTTTGAAACAGTTTCATACATCTATTAAGTTTTTCGTTAGAACGTCTGTTAACTGATGACGTAGCGCCCACGTGGACCATTACTAAACCTCACGTGTCAATACGAGCCCACTTCAATATTAAAAAATTATACAAAAAAAAAAAAAAAAAATCCGTACCCACCTTCTCCCCCGTACCCTCTCACTCCCTTCTCTCTTCTGCAACCCCCTTCTCTCTTCTGCACCTGCACCACCCTACCTTCTCTCCTCCGCAACCCGCACCACCCACGTCTCAAACAACAATCTCCATCCTCCACATCTCATCACATCTCACGAATCAGATCAGAAACCCTCCCCCCTCTCTTTTCCCCTCCCTAAATCTTCGCCCACAATTTCACGTCTACTATTAGGGTTTCTGAAAATGTCAGGTGCAGCAATAGCGGTGAGCTACTTGAGCTCCTGGGCACGCGCCCTCGTCCAGATCTCTCCTTACACTTTCTCCGCTATCGGCGTTTCTGTCCTTGGCGCCGCCTGGTTTTTCCCTTTTCCTTGTTTCCTATCCATTTAGTAATTAAAGTTCTGATCTTTAGATTAAATACTGATAATGAATATTATTGGATGGAAATTAGGGGGATTTATATAACTGGGAGGGTGGCTACGGGTGCTACCGCATCGGGTGCGCCTTCGCACCCAAAAAAGAGCATACCTTCACCCGAAAAAGAGCATACCTTCATCCAGCCCTCTCTCCTCCACCATGCCTCCTGATACGGCATCGATTTAGTCCCCATTTCAATCCCCGATTCCACCACCACGGCCAAGACCTTGATCAAGCAAGGCCCCTTCGATTGCATCATCCACAAGAGAGAAGGGAGGGAAAGGGTGCGGGTGCAGGTACAGAGGAGAGAAATGAGGGTGGTGCAAGTGCAGAAGAGAGAAGGGAGGGAATGGGTGCGGGTTCCAGAAGAGAGAAGGGAGGGAGAGGGTGAGGGGGTGAAGGTGGGTAGATATATATATATATATATATATATATATCTATTTTAATATTGAAGTGGGCCCATATTAACACGTGTCAGTCAGTAATTTTCCACGTGGGCGTCACGTGAAGTTCTAACGGAAAACTTAATAGATATATGAAATTGTTCCAAAATTAACATTTTAAGTATGATTTTGGGATGAAAAAATTTTCATGTATTAAATGTTGAAAACCACAAAACTTATGGGTAGTAAACTGAGATTAACTCTATATAAAATATCTTCCCTTACATCACCATCCGATCAAAAGGAAAAACTAACCTAATTACACACAACTGATTTATGTATTACTTGATAAGGTGGGATGTCTCAGCCATGAATCAACTACCAGAGTATATGAAAGTCTGCTATAAAGCGTTGTTAGATGTATACAATGAAATTCATGAAAAGCTTTTGCACGATGGGAAGCTATATCGCATCCACCATGCAAGAGAAGCGGTACTAATCCTCAATATGAATTAGCGGTAGAGATGATTTTTGAATTATTATAATCTCATGATCTGGTATGTGTCAGATGAAAAAACAAGTTAGAGCCCACTTCGATGAAGCCAAATTGTTCCACCAGAAGCACATACCATCACTGGATGAATACATGCCTCTATCACTCGTCACCAGTGGCTACCCGTTGCTAATAACCACATCCTTTGTTGGAATGGAAGAAGCTACAATAAACTCCTTTGATTGGTTGTCAACTTTCCCTCAGGCGGTGAAGGCTGCATCAAAAATTTGCAGACTCATGGATGATATAGTGGACCACAAGGTACTTAATCGTATATGTAAATTCTATTAATGAGTATTGTCAAATGCAACAAGTCTCACACTAAAAACCTGACAGAACAAAATATAACCTCATATTAAGTGGTTCCACTTCTAAGTACACCGAACGTTTTTATGACAAAATTTTACACTTGATGGGCTAGCAAATGGTTAAGTTAGAATAATATCCTGTTTGATCAATTAGTAGTGGCCCCTCCCCTCCCCCTTCCCTCCCCTTCTCTCTGAAATCTTGACAAAGCACGACTATTATGATTGGATTAATACTTATGTTACTTTTTATCTTAATCCTCATGCATGACTAGTTTGAGCAAGAGAAAGAACAGTTTATCTCAGCTGTGAACTGTTACATGAAGAAATATGGTGTCACAGAAGAAGAAGCGATAATTGAACTTAAAAGACAAGTGCATAATGCATGGAAGGACATAAACGAAGCATGCCTCCACCCTACCGCTGTCCCCATGCCCCTGTTAATTCGTATTCTTAATTTTGCTCGGCTCATGGATGTTGTGTACAAGTGTGAAGATGGCTACACTAATGCTAAGGGCGTGCTAAAAGATCTTATAGTTTCTACACTAGTGGAACCCGTGGCTTTATGAGCCTGAAATATCTAGGTGTTGTGATGTTTCTTTTAAAAGTAGTCTGTAGGGCCTAAGTTGCCTACAAAAAATAAGGAGTTACGATCCGTTAAGACCGTAAAAATGTAATTTGGGTTGTGCGTTTGCTTTACATATTATGATTTTATGATTAATAAAAGAACTTCTATGCAGTTGGAAATGAATCATATATTAATTATTCAGCTCAAATAGCACACTAAAACATGCATTTATATGGCTGTTGGTGCCAAAACTTGGACGGAGCTTGGTTACGCAGTTTAACACGTATTTTTCCTGAGGATTGTTTTTAGTCTCAGTGCCACAAGATTGTTCGAGAGAAGAGAGAATATGTGTGCCTCTGTTGGAGACTGTCAACATAGACAATGTTTGTGTGTTGTGCATGTGTGCAAGTTACGTGTTAATCTGACTTCAGAACCACACTACAGGACAGCACCACATTTATCGCAGTTAATTCACCACGGACATAAGAGACTCGTTGTAGAATATCCAATATTACCACGGACATTTAAAATCCGTTGTGAGTAAATGGTTTTAACAACGAGCAAAATCGGTCTGTAATAGAACATGTTAAAATAATAACGCGCAAGTAAAGCTTGTTGCAGTTATTTGATATGACCACGAGGATAGCTCATTGTTGAAATAAATTTAATCACAGCGCCTTCTTGAAATCAATCACGGTATATGAATGTTGTAGGTTAATTTATTTAATATTACTCCAAATTTGTTATCAGAACCAACTCTATCTTAAACCCAATCTATATACCAATTCCAGATCTGATACCACCAACCACCCAGTCTCACCCATTCGCTTCCTTCGGCGGTTTCTCTGAAATCTCCAAACTACTCATTTCTCTCTCCAAAGCCCCGCCCCCCTCTTCTTCGAAATCACAACCGTCTTCTGTCTGGTGCTCACACAAGAACTCGTCACTGATGTAGAGCCCGCTGGAAGCTTTCCCTAGAGAACAACATGTCGGTCGCCGTCCCTATGGCCTCGCCCAGTCGCCGGCTCGACTTGGATGACCAGCCATTCCTCAATTCCAGGATTAGTATGTCTCTCGATTTCTTTGTAAAGATATTAAAATTTAATTCCGTTCATTGAAATGATACCGGATTATTCTGCCATTAAAGTGTAATTATGAATAAGTATGTTTTTTTACAATTCGATTTTGGCTAAATGTGATAAATATTAAAGCTTTACTTAGTTTTGGTTCAATACGATAAGGTGCAAGAGAAAGGGATATGTTGATAACTAGGAGGCAAGCATGCCCAAGCATAGAACGAGCAGTGTGAAATTTGTTGGGGTCGAATTGTGCCCTGACAATGTGGCTATTGCCATGGTATTTTGTTCAAGGTGTCCTAGGCCTTGCAGGGCTTGCTGTCAGTACTGAACGAAATCAAGTGAAAACTAGAAAACTCGTCAAAAACTGGGCAAACTTTAAACGTTCATAACCTCTTCAATACTGAACGAAATAAAGTGATTCAAAAACAAAAATCATATTTCCCGACGAGACGAAGAGAATAGTACCTTTTTTAAACGGCTAACTTGTCGTGGTTTGGCTGGAAAGCAACTCGAAAGTAGCTATCTTGGAATGGAAGAAGCTACAATAAACTCCTTTGATTGGTTGTCAACTTTCCCTCAGGCGGTGAAGGCTGCATCAAAAATTTGCAGACTCATGGATGACATAGTGGACCACAAGGTACTTAATCGTATATGTAAATTCTATTAATGAGTATTGTCAAATGCAACAAGTCTCACACTAAAAACCTGACAGAACAAAATATAACCTCATATTAAGTGGTTCCACTTCTAAGTACACCGAACGTTTTTATGACAAAATTTTACACTTGATGGGCTAGCAAATGGTTAAGTTAGAATAATATCCTGTTTGACCAATTAGTAGTGGCCCCTCCCCTCCCCCTTCCCTCCCCTTCTCTCTGAAATCTTGACAAAGCACGACTATTATGATTGGATTAATACTTATGTTATTTTTTATCTTAATCCTCATGCATGACTAGTTTGAGCAAGAGAAAGAACATTTTATCTCAGCTGTGAACTGTTACATGAAGAAATATGGTGTCACAGAAGAAGAAGCGATAATTGAACTTAAAAGACAAGTGCATAATGCATGGAAGGACATAAACGAAGCATGCCTCCACCCTACCGCTGTCCCCATGCCCCTGTTAATTCGTATTCTTAATTTTGCTCGGCTCATGGATGTTGTGTACAAGTGTGAAGATGGCTACACTAATGCTAAGGGCGTGCTAAAAGATCTTATAGTTTCTACACTAGTGGAACCCGTGGCTTTATGAGCCTGAAATATCTAGGTGTTGTGATGTTTCTTTTAAAAGTAGTCTGTAGGGCCTAAGTTGCCTACAAAAAATAAGGAGTTACGATCCGTTAAGACCGTAAAAATGTAATTTGGGTTGTGCGTTTGCTTTACATATTATGATTTTATGATTAATAAAAGAACTTCTATGCAGTTGGAAATGAATCATATATTGGAAATGAATCATATATTAATTATTCAGCTCAAATAGCACACTAAAACATGCATTTATATGGCTGTTGGTGCCAAAACTTGGACGGAGCTTGGTTACGCAGTTTAACACGTATTTTCCCTGAGTATTGTTTTTAGTCTCAGTGCCACAAGATTGTTCGAGAGAAGAGAGAATACGTGTGCCTCTGTTGGAGACTGTCAACATAGACAATGTTTGTGTGTTGTGCATGTGTGCAAGTTACGTGTTAATCTGACTTCGGAACCACACTACAAGATAGTACCACATTTATCGCAGTTAATTCACCACGGACATAAGAGACTCGTTGTAGAATATCCAATATTACCACAGACATTTAAAGTCCGTTGTGAGTAAATGGTTTTAACAACGAGCAAAACCGGTCTGTAATAGAACATGTTAGAATAATAACGCACAAGTAAAGCTTGTTGCAGTTATTTGATATGACCACGAGGATAGCCCGTTGTTGAAATAAATTTAATCACAGCGGCTTCTTGAAATCAATCACGGTATATGAGTGTTGTAGGTTAATTTATTTAATATTACTCCAAATTTGTTATCAGAACCAACTCTATCTTAAACCCAATCTATATACCAATTCCAGATCTGATACCACCAACCACCCAGTCTCACCCATTCGCTTCCTTCGGCGGTTTCTCTAAAATCTCCAAACTACTCATTTCTCTCTCCAAAGCCCCGCCCCCCTCTTCTTCGAAATCACAACCGTCTTCTGTCTGGCGCCCACACAAGAACTCGCCACTGATGTAGAGCCCGCTGGAAGCTTTCCCTAGAGAACGACATGTCGGTCGCCGTCCCCATGGCCTCGCCCAATCGCCGGCTCGACTTGGATGACCAGCCATTCAATGCGATAAATATTAAAGCTTTACTTAGTTTTGGTTCAATACGATAAGGTGCAAGAGAAAGGGATATGTTGATAACTAGGAGGCAAGCATGCCCAAGCATAGAACGAGCAGTGTGAAATTTGTTGGGGTCGAATTGTGCCCTGACAATGTGGCTATTGCCATGGTATTTTGTTCAAGGTTTCCTAGGCCTTGCAGGGCTTGCTGTCAGTACAAATCAAGTGAAAACTGGAAAATTTGTCGAAAACTGGGCAAACTTTAAACGTTCATAACCTCTTCAATACTGAACGAAATCAAGTGATTCAAAAACAAAAATCATATTTCCCGACGAGACGAAGAGAATGGTACCTTTTTTCAACAGTTAACTCGTCGTGGTTTGGCTGAAAAGCAGCTCGAAAGTAGCTATCTTGGTCTCGAGCCATTTTTTGGCCAAACCAAGGCGATTTAGTCATCAAAAGGGATACCATTGTCTTTGTCTCGTCGAGAAGTATGATTTTTGTTTTTGAATCACTTGATTTCATTGAGTATTAAAGAAGTTATGAACATTTAAAGTTTACCTAGTTTTCGGCAAGTTTTTCAGTTTTCACTCAGACCAGTCAACTTTGAGGCTATTTTTTGGCCATCTCTATCAACCATTGGGCTTCCAAATAGGTATAATCTTATTCTACACTTTTCTATCTTCATTTTGATAAATTATGGGTCGATTTGGTTAAGAAATGATTGAGTTACGAAGTTTTGAAATTTGCCCAAACTTCCGACCAAGAACTCCAGGACATAACGGAGTTTTTAACAGAATGACCAAAATGATGGATGGTGCACAATTTCAGGGACCACTTCTATTGATTTGAAATCTCAGGGGCCAAATTGATGTGTTATGCAAATCTCAAGGATCATTTTGGCAATTTAGCCTTGTTTGAAATTCTCTCTTTATTGACCTAAAGGGCAATTTTGTCATAGTCAAACAAAAATTTGAGAAAAGTCTAGGGCTTAGACTAGTTTACGTCACTTAATACTATGGTCTAGTAGTATTATTTTTTATTTGTAAATGAAAGGTCTTAGGTTCGATTCTAACCAAAAGCGAATTTGAACCACATTATTGCTAGCCCATTGTGAGGCTTAGCCTACTCCCCCACTCCTTTAATATAAATAATATTGATTGTTCAAAAAATAGATAAAATAGTTTATCGTTTTGCCAGTCAATACTAGAGTCTGGTGATATTTCTCTTTATCAGTAAGTAAGAGGTTTTATGTTCGAACTTGTAAATGACAAATTCAATACCTAATGAAATTGCCTATCTTTGATTTTGCATTTTGGTTTCAGGAAACATTCTTCTTCGAGTTTTAGGGTTTTGTTCTTCCTAGCTTTTTCTGGGTCGGGTATATAATTTATCTCTTTGGTGTTTTTTTTAAACTTTTTTTTTTTTTTTGGGGTTTTTTGATTGTTTGTGCTTCGATTTTTCCCTCAAACTTAAAAAAAAAAAAAAAAAAAAGAAAAAAAAAAGAAAAAAAAAAAAGAGGAATACTGTTGATTAGTTTTTGGGTTTTGCTTTGTATGTTTCGGTTTTGTACTGTGAGTGAGGAATTTTTTATTTTGGTTTTTTAATTAAGGGCTAAACATTTCCAGCAATACAAATGGATGATCATGATTAATTTTTGGGTTTAATTTAGCTTTTGATTATTGTGGATGAGTTGCGAAACTTCTTTTCGATTATGTGATCTGTGCCTGTTATGTTGTTCTTATCTTGATTATATTTGGTTGAGGTCATGATGATTTATGGGTTTTTTTAAAATATGATCCAGGTTTGAGCATTCTGGTTAGCAGGCCCGCTTAGTTGAATCAGCTAAGTTTCATGTCTGACATCGACGTACTGCTTCTAATGCGTTTGGTATGTTTTCTGTTAACTCGTAACTCATCTGAGAGATCATTTTTTTATTGAATTCAATTGAATAAGTTTTTTAATTGAAAACCTGGGTACCTAGATGCTCCAGAGATCATTTTCAATCATCGATACAATACTGTTGTAATTTAGTAGTTGTGCAGTTTGAGAATTGGTGTGTAGTTGTTCCTTCAGCAACCTGACTAACCTGATATACTCAAGAAACCAAGCAAAATTGCTTATCTGGGCATTATTGACAACCTAAATGGTTTGGTTTGGCTTGGCTATAATTCATATGAATTTGAAGTCGTTAGTTCTGGTGTCTTTAAGATCTGATTTAAAAACCTGGAGCAATATGCATATATACTGGTGAAAATATAAGGTTGTGAGTGTGGTACTGATTCTTTCTTTGTATTAATTGAGCTTATAATATATTTTAAGGCCTCAAATATAGATTTGTTTTCCGTATCAATTCTTAACTTATCAGTGTTAATAGAATTGATTTGGTTTTGTAGATCAGAATTTTTAAACAACAAAATTAACCTGCAAATTCAGTTCAGGTATCAATGCTTACGCTTATTTAGATTGTTGAATTCATCTTTACCTTTATTAGATTTTATTTTTCAATGTTGTTTGATGCATTATCGTGTTACTTTATTATTAATAAAACTAATTTGGTTTTGTAGATTAAGATTTTTTAGCGAGAGAATCAAGTTCAAAATTCAATTGAGGTATGAATCTTTTTGCTTATTTGGCCTGTTGAATTCATGTTTGCCTTTGCTGCATTTTATTTTTTACAGTTGTTTGGTACATTATGGTATTAATTTCATTGTAATTTTATGGATTTGAAGTCGTTATTTGGATTTTGGACTGTGAGAAGGATCTGGTGGGTATAAAGCTTCACTGCTTTGTATTGCAGCTCATTTTGATAACATTTATAATGGTATATAATCTGCTGGATTAATATTCCAGTTTAATATTGTTGTTTATTATGTGTGACAAGTTATATTAGTAACATTTACACTGTTATCTGTCGTAGTTAGACTTGCTGACCATTTTTATCCTGTTTATGACATTTTTGTGCTAGGGTTTTTGAGCTTTGTTACTTACCCTTTCGTTTTTTTTTTTTTTTTTGGTTGCTTGATTTGTTTTGCAGGTTGCATTTGCAAAAGGGAGAACAACATCTTAGATAGTTTTTGTGCTTATGAAACATTTGAGGGTAAGATTCACATGGTTATTTAAATCTGTGGGTTTTGTTTCTTTGATTTTAAAATAGAAAAAACTTAACATTTTTTTTCCCTAGATTTTAATTAGAATGTGTTGTAAAGCTTTTTATGCATTGCTGTGGTTTATTGTAATAAGTTGGCAACTATGTATAAGGAGCTATTAGTTTTGGATTTACAGAAATTAGGTGTTCAATTAGTTGAGATTATTTGGTTTCCCTTCAATTTTCTTTGCTTTCTACTTTCTCTTATTGTCATGTATTTTTATGACTTATTCTTATTTTGCGGTTTAGTATTATGTTAGTTTGGCAGAACATTATTATTTAGTCAGTGGTGGTTCTGTTTATGCCCAGAAAATGGTTAGCTAAAGTGTATTGACACATGGTCTTTTTTATCAATGTGTTGTAAATTTTTTTATATGTTGTGGTTTACTATGGTAACTTTTAGCAAGTATGTATGGGGGGAAATGCTTTTGCTTTCCCCTATTTCCCTTTCTTTTTTTCGCAGAAAAAAAATTTCATGCAATATTTTTCTGTTTTTGTTAAAATAATGTCCTGATGTGATTAAGTGCCTAAAGGTTACACATTTGGTCTTAAGTGTTATTGTTGACTACAAAAATTACAGAACCTACGTGGCGCGCAGGCCGAATAACTAATGAGCTAACTAATGTCCTTCGGTTGAATGCAGGGCGTGCCAACTCGTCGGCCGAGCTCGGCCGAGGAGTAAAATTTGATGCGGTCGCGTTGAGCGCGCTGTTGACTTCTGTATCTTGCGATTACGACCGAGTAAGGAACGCTCTCGGTCTCTGGATTCTATAGCCTGAAGACAAGGCTACTAATTCTACGGAGTTCACAACTCGTCGAAGCCTGATTCGGCCACTGTGATTATATTCGTAAGAGTATAAGCACGCCGAATTGAGACCAAACTATACGGGCACAGGTACTCGAATGTGATGTATGTCTTAATGGTAAACGTAGTTCGGCCGTCGGAATGCCGA